CGCTCCACGGCGGCGGACCCAGGCCGGAGCCCCAGCCCGCGAGGCGTGTCCGACTCCCGGGAAGCGTCGCCGGGAGGTCCCGGAGCCGGCGGGCATGGAGCCGTGGAAGCAGTGCGCGCAGTGGCTCATCCACTGCAAGGTGCTGCCCGCCAACCATCGGGTGACCTGGGACTCGGCGCAGGTGTTCGACCTGGCGCAGACCCTCCGCGATGGAGTCCTGCTCTGCCAGCTGCTCAACAACCTCCGCGCGCACTCCATCAACCTGAAGGAGATCAACCTGAGGCCGCAGATGTCCCAGGTAAGGCGGCCGCCCGCCCGCCCTCGGCCGCGACCCACCGGCCCGCTAATTTCTTTGTGTAAATGCACGCACGTAGGTGCTCCCCGCCCGCCCGCACGCCGCGCCCCGCTGCCCCCCGCCGCCCGCGGCCCGGACCACTTGGGCTTCTCCTACCTTGGCTTGGTGTGGGCTGAGCTGTGCAGCGCAACGCTACAGCCTGGCGTCTCCCAGACGGTGTCAGGGATTTCCTAAATACATGCCCTAGGTAATATGGGAAGAAAGAAGTTGTCGTGGAGTGCCCTTCACCAACTTTGTGTGTGTGTGTGTGTGTGTGTGTGTGAGAGAGAGAGAGAGAGAGAGAGGACAGACAGACAGAGACAGACAGACACAGAAATAGCAGAGCGATTCTATCCAGTGCTTCCCTGACATCGGATGGGGGGGGCGCGTTTTGAGTTTCATCTGTTCTTTGCATTTTGGCCCCCATGGTTTTCTGGAAAGAGGAACCATGACATCAGCCGAGGACTTTAGGAAGTGGAGGGTGTTTGGTCCGTTATCTGCCCAGGAATGACACTGGTCACAGGCAGGAAAAGGAATGGGACACACACACACACACACACACACACACACACACACACACACACACACACACACACACACACACACACACACACACACCGTTTCCCCAATGTCCTTGTCTGCGCCTCCCCCTTTCCCCCAGCCTGGAGTTGCAGGAAAGCCGGCTGGTTACAGTTCTTCAACAATGTGAGAAGCATCTAGCCCAGTCTCTCTCAGCAGGGACAGGAAATGAGCAGTTTCACTGGAGATTCCGCTTTTTGGGGGGTGTGGGGGTGGGCTCAGGTGGTCAGATGTATTCCTGGCCCAGCCTTGCTTGAGAGTTTTAAATCAGATGAAGCTCTGAGAAGCCTTTGGGCTCCTTAGAGTCAGCACAGAAGTCACAGTGCAGCCCAGTAGGGGTTTCTTGGTCTTAGCAGAAAGTTTCTGCCCAGGAAGATGTTAAATACAAGTCACAACCTCTGTTTGCTCTTTCACACACAGAACACACACACACACACACACACCAATTTCAACTTAAAAGGGAGACTAAAGAGCCCCGTTCAGGACACAATTTAGCACTAGTCTTGTCTGTACAGAACTTCAGCTACTTAGCAACGAGTGCTGGTGCCTCTCAAGAAAGAACTGGCTTTCTACGGCTTAATTATGCATCTAAAGGTAGAGCCGCACTCATCTCTGGGTCCCGGATGTCAGTACTTCAGTGAGGTCTCTCTGCACTTGAAGTTTTGCACCTCTTGTTCATCTGCTTTCAACCTGTTAGAAGGCAGCCCATAGGAAAGGCCAGGCATGGAAGTGGTCATGCTGTATGCATTTACACAAGAGGTAAATGCTTTTTCGTGATGGCTTGATGATTGCTAGCTTTGTAGAGCTCTTCGTTGTGGTCTCAATGATGGATCTCCTATATAGCAGACATGTAGCAGGCATTTCCATAATATAGAAGCTGCTGTCTCTACGAAGTTCTGCAGGGGAGCTGCCGGCTCCTGGTCATCCCTGTTCTCATAGGCCCCTGTTTTTCCAGAACCTTCACTGTGGCCCATCAGCAGGGAGGACAGTACTGTGGCAGACACCTCCCGGAAATTTGGGTTTCCAGGAGCTTTTAGTGACTGTTTATTGGGTCAGTCTTCATAATCACATTTTCTGGACAGCTAAGCATCTCTCTCCTCTTTAACCTTCAAACCTGTGTGTGAAGGTTAACAATGGAAAGGAAATCTTTTCAAATGCTCTTTTTCTTTCTCCTGTTGGAATGTGATTAGCTGTAATTTAATCTTTCCAATGACTAGGGGATATTATTATCAGCATCACTAATGAAAATTGAGCACATAAAATTCTCTCAGAGCTCTATTCCCTACTGAGGGTACCACAATGAGCATCTGAGGATATTTGCCCTGAAGGAATTATTATACTGCCATCAGATAAACCACCAGGTTGTAATGAGGTAAGTAGGACAGCTAAATGATCTTTCTTGAGATTGTTGTCCTTTTCAGTTCTTAATCTTCCCAATCCTGAGATTTCTAGTTGCAAATCCAATGCATTTGCCCTTGTAATACACCATGAGTGAGTGAATGCTTCTCTCAAATGTAAATGCTGGAACACTAGTACCTGACTATGGTGATGGCTAGTTTTATTTCCTTCTTGATTCTTGGCCACATTACAGAGAGGTAATGTTGCTGAGTGGCTGAGAGCTGAGGCTGATGAATTCATATTATATAAGTTGTCATGTCATTCTCAAATGAAACGAATGCTTTTATGAAATGCATCAACACAGTGCTCAACATATACTGCACAACAAATAAGTGTAAATGTGACTTAGTGTTTCCCCTCCCCCTGCTCACATCATAGTAGAAATAACAGAATACAATTACTGCACAGGTTTACAAGTTTCATTCTACTGACATCTCTAAATATTTCTACCTCCAGTCTTTCTGAGGGAAGGTTCTAGCCATTCTTCTATATGAAGTTCCTATCCTAGTAGCTCTGTTCATAATGTGTAGGGAATAACCTTTTAACCCAGTGCACTTTATATGCTTTTGTGAGACTCAGCTTTTCTCCATACATTCACATTCTTGCCTTTCCTCTCTCCCTTCATGCCCCTAACCTACCTGTCACTTCCTCAGAGAAGACTTTCTTGACTACCTTCCGTAAACTCCCTTCTATCAAATTATATTTCCATTTTGTGTGTGTGTGTGTGTGTGTGCGAGCGCGCGCGTGTGTGCGCACATGCACACGCGCACGCTGCTTCTAGGGCTTGAAATCAGAGTTAAGGTGCTGTCCCTGAGCTTAAGGCTAGCACTTTACCACTTGAGCCACAGCTCCACTTCTGGCATTTTTGGTAGTTAATTGGAGATAAGAGTTTCAGGGACCTTCCTGCTGGGCTGGCTTTGAACTGCAATCCTTACATCTCAGCCTCCAGAGTAACTAGGCAGCCTTGGTGCCATGCATCCCGGTGGAGTTTATACTCTTCTGAAGTTAGAGGTACCATTATTAGTACTTGTGGCTTTTTGATATGTTCAAGAGTCATTTCTTCCACCTGACTTAGGTTCAGTTGAAGACACAAATTTGAAGTAGACCATTTCCTTATAGTACATGGCTTCTAAGGTAGGAAATAGTAGGAAGCTCTCCCTTCACAAGATTTTTTTTTCATTATGAAAAATGTTCCAAGCAGATGCAGACAAAGGCAACTTTATTGATATTTTCCTTGCTACATGTTTTTGGTTTCCCAAAAGAGGCTATAAAATAACCAGCCTCTTTTAATAAGGGTGTTTATTCCAGTGAATGGGCTATTTCATTTTCTTTCTGTTAGTCTTCTACCTTACGTGCATTAAAACAAATAACCCTGCAAATAATAATTGCCCAATTATAGGCTAGACTCTTTAAAGTATTCCTACACTAATTGGGTCTTATTCAAAATAGAAGCATAAATAAGATCCCATTTCTGTAACTTCTTCTTGGCTGTGGACAGCACTTTCTTTCTGTTTTGCCATCTTGCTAATGTGATGGCTGTCTTCAACTAAAAAAGGGTTTGTCTAAAATACTGGTTTAGGTTTTGCTTTTATTTATAATAGGTTAAAGAGGTAAACATTACGTTTAGTTAAACATTGAACATGCTCCTTTGGTTCAAAAGAATGAAGTTAAATAAAATTTAAAAATCTAAGAAACTTGGTATCTAAATTAGATATTAGATGTATATTAGATTTGTTTTTTTTTATCCAAATAAAGCATTTAATGACCTGAGAGGAGCTGCCTGCTAATAATCATGCCCTCTAGGGAAAGGTCTGGTGATTGGCTTCATGTTGCTTTTCATGGTTCTGTCTTTATCAGTGCCTTATCATCAGTTTGTCATTGATGAGATGATTTGGGTCTTACTTTCAAATTAAAATCTTTGCTTTGTATTATGTTTAGTAGTAGTAATACATTTGATGAGATTTCCAACCACTATGTATGATATATTTAAAGTTTATGTTGCGTTAAAACTAATCAGTCATGAAAGATATCTTTTTTCTATTTATTTATTCATTTATATTGTGAAAATACTTTACAGAGGAGTTACAATTACATGGGCAAGATAATGAGTACATTTCTTATCAAGCATTGTAGCCTCCTCCTTTGTTTCCCCTTCTTATCCCTTCCCATCCTCCCCCCCCCCCCCCCCCCCCCCCCCCCCCCCCCCCCCCCCCCCCCCACAAAAGTTGTAAAGTTCTTTTTGGACATAAGGACTTGTACATCTCCTTGTTGCAATAGGTCCATGTGTATCCCTATTTAAATGATTTGTTTTTCCCCTTCCCCTCCACAAATTATTAAAGGTATCTTTTTGTTGTTGTTGTTGTTATATTGGGGTTTTGAACTCAGAGTGTTGTATTTACAAGGTAGGCGGTCTATCACTTGAGCCTGTCCCTCAGCCTAAAGGGTTTTTTTTTTTTCAATTTGAAAAAAATACTTTGTTCCTACATGGTGTCAGGAATTACTTAGAACACTGCCTTTGAGCAGTAAACACACTCAACAGTCTTTGCTCTAACGGGATATTTATGTGCTAGTGGAGGAGATGGACTGTACACTTATAAGCCACTGTGCAATAGAATGTACACTGAGAGAGAAATGTGACTTGAGCTTGCAGAAGGGAGTTTATGCAATTTATGAAGGGTAGCCAGGAAAGGCAGGAATGTGCATGTTTGGAGAAAAGAATAGTCCCAGGAGAGGGAACATGGATAGGAATGTCCTGAAGTAGTTAACTAACTGGCAGGCACACTAGAGGAACAGGAAGAGGGCCGAGGGGGGAGGGGTTAGGGAGAGCCAGGGATAGGAAAAACCAGTAGGAATGAGGTTGGAGAGAGAGAGAGAGAGAGAGAGAGAGAGAAAGGAAGCCCAGTGTTTAGAACTTGTGGGCCCTCATAATTACTTTAGCTTTTCCTCTGAGTGAAATGAGAGACCAGCTGAGGGCTTGAGCAAAGTCA